TTTCATTTATATAGTAATACCTAATGTTGCCGAAAGTATGGGTGATATTATAAAACTGCAACAAAGGGCTCCATTTCCTATCGCATAGACATTACCTGTTGTTTTAAAATATAATTAGATCACTATTAGTGTATTATTAATAATAATTTATTATATTTATTATAATACCATATATTGATGTATGCCTTATATCCACCAAATGAGCTGAAAATAAAATAATAAATTTTAAATTTTAATCTAACCTTTAAACTCATCCTTACCTAGCATTGGCATCATTGAGCTGTCAATCATGCCTGGTCAGATAGCAAATTACATTTGTTAAATTAATTTAAACCTTTTAAAAATTATCTATAATATTAATACCAATACTAAATCCAATGACTGCGTTGGGAATAATAAACTGATAAAACTGTGTCACAAATGGTATCTATGATTAAATGCCGTAAATTAGGGTAACATTTAAAAACCCAATCATAGCTCACATAAAGCAATGAGAATCCAATGCAAGTCAACGCAATCATAGTGGACAGCCATCTGCCCAACCAGTAGCCCAGGGGTCCGAATATGTTGGCGCCGATCAGATATGACAGGGATGAGGGCAGGAACGCCATGCCCTCTAACCACGTGTTCGAGTGCATGGTCTCCATCATATGCAACGGGAGGGACGGCTCCAGAATACCGATGCCTATACTGCCGATGCAAAGGGCACAGGAGGTGATCGCTATATACGGGTCCAGCATTAGGCTCCACAGGGAGGCGCCCTTTTGGGCCTCTTTTGCCACTTTGAGGTCCAAAACACATGTTTGCAAACCTAAATAGTTTATGCAATAATTATGTACTTATTAGATTTAGTATTATATTAGTAAATAACTAATAATTATTTAATAAATATAGCTATCATAATAAAGTAAAGTATCCAGGTACTGTTGTACTATTTCATTAAATAGTGCATACATCCATCAAATAATCCCAATACTGCTAATACAATAAACGGTGAATTTTTGCCCACAAACTGATACATGAGTCCACCAAATGGGGGTCCGATTAGCAGCCCTAACGCCAGTCCACTCAACGCTATTGACATAACATTACCTAAATTTAAAACAAAATTGAAAACATTATAATTTAATGTATAACTAATTAGGTTTGATTGTAGACGATTGAATTATCAGTAGAATTATGGCAAAACTTTAAATATTCTAGTGTGGGGGGAAACCAATATTAAAATATGGTTATATTGTTATAAGCTCATGAATGTTCAATAATTACTATTTTACAGTTTTTGGATTTATAAAAATTTGGTAAAATACAGTAAATTGCACTACAGTATAATTCAAACTCAAAAAACTAAATAAGTCCACCATTTGAGATTGTGCTAGTAAAAAATTAAAATTGTAAATATAAAACTACTGTACTTTTAATATGAAAATTTTAAATAGACTGTAATTTTAATTTTAGAAACTGTAATAATTTATTTGACATAAATATAACATCAACATACGGTTTGTGTAAAAATTGACAAAAATTAAAATAAAATTTTAAATGAAATAAAAATATTTCTCAAACTGTAAATATTCATAAAATATATTTAAAATAAAACTATTTTCTAAAATGCTACTGTATTAAACCTAACTGAATTTACAACCACATTACATTTACCTATATTTACAAGTATATAGTTAGTATACAATTAAATTATTCCAATAATTAAATTTAGTAATTATAATCAAGTGTCATTTAATTGTTAATTATTGTCTACAATTTGTAAATAAAATTAAAACACCATAATCACGAAGAAATCCTTAAACCATTAGTAAATTAATTCAATACTTAAAACTAGCCTAGTTAAATTGTATTTTTATGTTATAGTTTGTATTAGTTTATAAACTTTGTAAACCTACCTCGCTGTTTGTCGTCCGTATATCTATCGGCTATTAAACCCAAACCGGAAACCGATGTAAACGACGAACTGAAGCCCAATATTATTCGGGCCGTCAGTAACAGGGAGTAGGAGGTGCTGATGGCATACACTATATGGTAAGGGAACGGGATGTTAGAAAATATATTTTAAGATACTGTATAAAATAGCATTATACAACATACTTAACGTGGAGGCCACCAAGATCATAAGTCCGAAAAACAGTGGCAAACTATACCCGATCCTATTCGTGATGATACCTATAAACGAGTTGGTGAGCACCTGTGCCATGGGTTTGGCCGCAAATATGAGCCCAATCTCTGTGCTCTCGCCCATCAACTCCCGATCCCTTTGACTTGTTTTAGGCATTATGTCTACCCTTTCATCGCTCACTTCCTAAACAAATATAATTTAATTAAAATTTTTTAGTTTAATAAATGTTTTAAATGAATATTACTTGCGATGACATCCCGTCCCCCGTAACTAACATATCGTTAAGGGATCTCTTCATGTAATTCATGGAAATGGATGTGTTATGAGATGTCAGTTCAGTGTCGGGATGATTTAGCTCATAGATAAGTGTTGGCATAATTGGTACTGGTTATTTATTGTACATATATATTAATTAAAGTTACAATTATATTAGCAAGCACATACCGATTGACGTGACCAGCATACTGTCTAATAATAAGCCTATGGTCACAATGAACACTACCATATAGTGTGACCACTGGCTATGATCGGCATTTGTAACACAAATTTTATATTCAGGCACGTTTTCAGTCATATCTGTATTAAGTTTTATATATTTAATAAACTATTATTTTTGTAATCAATTTAATACTATTAACATGACAAATATAAATTGTTTAAAATTTTAATATAATATTTATTTTTATTATTAAATCAGAGTCTGAAACATGAGTTTTAATATTTGTAAATATAATTATTATCAGGCTGATTGTAATAGTTTAGATGTTTTACTGATTCTCGTGATTATCAAATGATAATTTTATTAATATGTATGATTTTTGTTTTTACATAAAACATTTTCAAAATATTTATACATTTAAACTCGGTGATTTACGGCAATATTGTTTGTGACTGCGTGGTTAATAGGGGCAAGTGTTTAGCAGGATATTTATGATGTCAAAATTAACTTTCAAATAGTTAATCATGATGAAATTAACTTTAAAAACTAGTTTATCAGTGATAAATTATTACGATAAAAATTTTTATATAATTATTAAAATCGTTCAAAATCGGCTGTGTCGACTTAGCCCGAAAAATTCCCGCCGCAAAATTACTGCCCACAAAATTTCATATGTAATTTTCATTAAAAATTACAATATTCTACCCACAAATATACCTACAATTCTGCCCACAAATATGCCCACAAATATACCCACAATATACCCACAATTATGCCCACATTTTCGCCCACAATTTTGAACACAAATTCCATAAATACTTGTGCCCACAATTCAGTCCACAAATTCTATAAATACTTTTGCCCACAATTCTGCCCACAAATTCTGTTTATAATTCTGCCCACAATTTTGCCAACAAATTCTGTTTATAATTCTGCCCACAAATTTTATAAATATTTTTGCCACAATTCTGCCCACACTTTCGCCCTCAATTTTGCCCACAATTCTAAATTATAAACACAATTTGTGGGAGAATTTGTGGGCAGAATTGTAGGCAAAAGTATTTATAGAATTTGTGGGCAGAATTATGGTCAAAAGTATTTATAGAATTTGTGGGCAAAATTGTGGGCGAAAGTGTGGGCAGAATTGTGCGTATATTTGTGGGTAGAATATTGTAATTTTTAATAAAAATTATATGTGAAATTTTGTGGGCAGTAATTTTGCGGCGGGAATTTTGCGGGCTAAGTCGACACAGCCTTCAAAATCTTATGAAATATTAATTTTACTCAAATTTTAATTACTTGATAAACATGTTGTTCATGACATTTTTAAACAGGTAATTTATTTTTGGTTATTGTTTGTACAGTATCTGTACTGTAAAGTATAAATTAATTTTTTTATACAATAAATACTTATGTTATGCATCCGGTTTTAGTTTTCTAAATAAATCATCTAGATCAATTTAGGGACAAGTTGTTGGCTTATAAAGTGCATTTTAAGTGTATTTATATCTCCATTATTAAATTACTTATTATATACGGTATATTGCCTAATACATATAAACATTTTACACAGTATGGATTTTTTTAGTGACAAGTACATTTGATTAATTTCTAGACACTAATATGATAGATTAATTTCTAATATCGTATAAAAATATGTTAAGGTAATATTTGTAATATACTTGTAAACATTATTACTCAATTATCAGTATGCACTTATTTATGGTGCATAAATGTTTTTTAAAATTAATTTAATATTGTTATTACCGGAAAAACCTAAATGATACTTTCATATATTTATTTAAAATCACAAATAAACAATTAATTACATAACTTATTAGAAATAATTAATTTTAACTATTTTACTTGACAAGTGTTTAACTATATTTATCACAAATTATTTAACATTGATATCCTTAAACTCATTTAAATAGCACAATATTTCACATCCTTAAGGGCATGGTACACATCACGAGTGCAAACCAAGGACATAAGCCCGTAAAATATCTACGTAATAGCACCAAGCACACATAATAAATTACAAATAAATCTATTACTTAGAAATGAAAACAATTAATTATGTTATTTGACGCAATTCCCTAGACAGGATTGCAAATAATTTTTTGTTTTTGCACAAAATTCCGCCAGGTTACTAATACAAAACTAATAAATTATTTTTGAGAACAGTCAACAAAAACTATATAAGTTGCGAAAATAAACTCATAAAGGTGTTTTGTGAAAATCAAGTGCTATTTTGATACTACTAGCATGCTTACATAACTTATTTGCACTGCTAATTTAATACTAGCAAATTATAAAATTTATAAAATTAAACTCGCTATTTAATAAAAGATTAAATTACATATAATATACCTCATATTCAAAAATTAGTAAACTAAATTAATATCAACTAGGACATTCCCTATTACCATGACATCAACGCAAGTCTCAAAACCCAGACAACGGCTCAACTCAACCAACAACGAGGACTACGACGAACTGGTGGCCAACGACACGGACAACGCCCACCAGAAAGTGGTGGACAGGCTGTCCGTACTATACAAGGAGATACTGCGCGCGATTGGCGAGGACCCCGAGCGTCAGGGTCTACTGAAAACGCCGCACCGGGCGGCCAACGCCATGTGGTATTTCACGCACGGGTATGGCGTCCGGTTGGATGAGCTCCTGAACGGCGCCATCTTTGATGAAGATCACGATGAGATGGTTATCGTCAAAGACATTGAGTTCTTCTCGATGTGCGAACACCATTTGGTGCCCATCTATGGTCACGTGTCGATCGGCTATTTGCCTAA